CACTCTGAATTTTTTCCCCACTAGTCGGTTATACTCAGAAGTCTGGGATTCACTGCATGTGACCATGAAACACTATAAAAATGGTATGCTTCTTTTCCTGAACAATGATCAAGCTCTGTATTTGATCTAGCGCTGAAATTTGCAACATGTTACTATGAATGATGGAATGTTACATTATACCCAGAGTTAAAAGTTTATCCCTTTACCAATGTTTTTCTTTTCTTAACTGAAACAAAGTTGTAGATAAATGTGCAGAGAAAAATGTTTAGTAACTCTGTTTAATCTTCCACTTCTTGCTTAATGGGTTTTAAAAATAAACAAGGTAACTCAATTGTATCTAATTTGGTAGTTTTTAGTCAGAGCTACTACATGTAACAATTTTTTAAAATTTTAAATTGTAACATATACAAAGGAACAGCTCTCAAAGATATGAAGTAAATTTCCCCAGCTTGGCACTTTTTTGTTTCCTTCAAAGAATATACAGCAATTTGTAATTTATTCATTTGTCTTTTAATTGTTTTGCCTATCATTCCTAAGCAAGTTAATCTCAATGAGGGCAGAAATCATTTTGGTCTTGTATACCATATAGTTCCAACATTTAGTATATGCTAAAGAATATATATTTATTGAATGTAAATGATTGTTGTTCAGGAAACTGAGCTTACTGAGCATTTACTATGTGCCAGGCAATGATGGTACTAAATATTCTGAATGTCACCTATGTCATGCAAATCAAGATCATGTATAAATATGATTTATTTATGATTTAATTCTCCTTTTAAAACATATTTCAAAAAACCATGTAAGTATGCAAGTGTCTTCTGTCCTGGTGAGATATATGTCTTATGTCCCCCATCAGGCCCCAGTACCACTTGTTCTTCTCCTTTATCAGCATCATCAAGGAAGGAAGGAAACAGTGAAGAGCAGGGTTGCCAGTGCAGAAGCTAGCAGGAAGATCACTTAGCTTTCATTTTTTCTTTTCTAAATCATCTGTAGACCATTTCCTGCTTTAATATCCACTGACATTCTTTATATTTATTCATTCAGTTCTTCCAAACACTACTTTGATGATATTTTATAACCAAATAGCTAGAAAATATCCTTTACTGGCCTAGAAAGAGTGTCTCTAATTACAGAATGTATAAATATGGTCCCTGCTCAGGGATACCCACACTTTTTATTTTGAAATGATTTTAGATTTACAACTAATTTCCAAATATAGTATAGGGTTTCTCAAACACACTTCACCCAGCCTTGCATGATGTTATCTTCTTATAATAATGATTCTGATACTATTTTTAACCCCACCATCCCATCCCTGTGGTCACTAGTGATGCTGAATATGTTCTATTTGGGGACGCCTCGGTGGCTCAGTGGTTGAGTGGTTGACGCCTTTGGCTCAGATGGTGATCCTGGAGTCCCAAGATCAAGTCCCGCATCGGGCTCCCCATGGGGAGCCTACTTCTCTCTCTGCCTGTGTCTCTGCCTCTTTCTGTGTGTCTCTCGTGAATAAATAAATAAAATCTTAAAAAAAGAGAGAGAGAGAATATGTTCTGTCTGGCCCTCTAGGTCTACACTCTATCTTCCATACTCTCTTGCATGCCATAGGAGGCAGACTGGCCCCTTTTGGCTTCTGATTGGATCCACCAATGAAAGCAGCAGAAAATTGGAGAGCAGGGTATTTATTTCCATCCCCAGTTCCCTAAAACTTTGTCTCTGCAGAAACATCCTGTTACCAAAGGCCATAACAAAAGCCCCTACTCTGTCTCTTCAACTACAACTATTCTTTCTCTCTGGGTTCCTGCTCCCACTCCCTGGCCCCTTCAGGCCTAGGACTGGTGAGAAATCTCTGCTGTCACTAGTCCTGGGATGCTTTGCCATCCCTAGTTTTTCCCTTAACCCTGCCCATAGCTTTTAAACCATTCCTTTATTAAATTCCCCTCAATGTCCCCAAATGACCATTAATCTGATTTTTCCCAAGACAATGATTGATGACCTACCCAAAGTGGTATTACCTTAAAATCAACATTCCCTTAAGGGAATATATCCTCTTACCCTGACACACCAAGTAGAGAGTATTTACATAAAACTTTCTACCACAATGAGTTCCAAATCATACCATTCACAAGTCCAATTTTATGAATCAATGTCTGGAATTATTTCACACCTTTACCTTACTCAAGGGTCACGGAAACAATTACAGCACAGCTAATAAGGTGCCATGTATATATAAAATAACTCTAGTAATAATCAATAGCACTTGAACAGGAACCTGGTCCTCCAGAACCAGTAGGGACAGGAATTTATGCTGAGCCCACTCCCCAGCCCCCATCATTTGACTCCCATTTGGCCATTTGAGTGCTTTGGACAAAAACTGTCATTTCAGCTGGAGGGGAATTCTCTCTCTTATCAGGGATTTGAGGTCACTATCTGCAGTTTTAAATCTTGAACTACAATAAAATGCATATAGGTTCTTGGTATAGATAATAAATTGCTTAAAATGAAAGGTATGAGACATACCAAGCAATTTCAGCCCCACAACTGGATTCAGTATTTAGTTAGCAGGTTCAGAGTAAGATGGGACAAGCTTCAATTCTGCACCCAATTTCCCTAATCAGACTCTTCACCTGTCCTACTACTTCTTCACAGATGATGAAGATGAAAATCTTTAATCAGGATACCTACAGCATCCACCCTGACAAAGAACAAGGGACCCAGGAGATCTGAAGATCTAGGAGGCTAGAGCCAAAGGAAGCAGCAAAATTTCTGGCATAATGCAAAATGCAAAGGGAGAATTATGAAAGGAGACCACATTTTAACCTATAGACTCCCATTTCTGCTCCCCCAGGTACCAGCCAGCTGACCGCTAAGTCCTCATCCATGAAACCTTAAACCGAAAGTTGTACTCTTCCCCCTGCCCTCCCTTCCCAAATATGGATTTCGTTTTCTTAACATCTCTTTCAGGGTTGTACAATATTCCATATTATATTTTACACCTATCAAACTTAAATCTGAAAAGTATTTTAGCATTTCTACTGTGGAGAACAAAATACATTATAGCCAATAAAAAATTAAACATTTTAAAATGCCAACATCAGGGGGAAAATTATTATTTTTTCCTTTTAGGGCATTTCCCTACTCTTGTACAACAATTGATAACTATAGAGAAAGGTGAGCAACAATTCAATTCTGCTTGCTGTGGCACATGAAATTCAGCCACCCACAGACACTTATTTTAAAATAAGTCAGAGTCCATTGCCATAATTCAAAAAAGCAACACACGGTATATTTACTTCTGAAATTTATTTCAGGTGACAGGACACCCACAGACTAACAAAATAAACATAGAATTAAATAGTATTCCCAAAGCCCAGTTCTACTTCCTAGCAAAGGCAGATGATGATTTAGCTACCAAATTTATTCTATATTAATGTGTCCATGCAATTGACCTCTTTCTCCTATGCCCCCACCCCACCCCCTGGCAAATTTGAGAGCCATATTAACAGTAGCACTAAAATGATTTCTTATTTGAAAATCTGAAGACAAAACACCTTGAGATGGATACACCCAACACAGAAAGTATTAAGAATAGGTTAAGAATTATAAAGCAGGGCTTTTTAATGATACAATTCTATAGTTGGAGAAGGGGAAGGAAGTAAAAGGGGGTGGGTGGGTCAATATTTTGCAGAAGCAAAATAGGAGGGGTTAATTTACCTTGAAAACAACCATTATTCTATTTGTCCAGGCCCAATGAGAATTTGTGCCAAGCAATTTCATTCATTTCACAGTGCCTAGAACATTGATGACTGTGTGGTAAATATTAAACAAATACTTGTTGGTTGATTAAAGTGTACATGGCAACGCCGTGTACACACAGGAAACAGAAACTCAAGGTGGTCAGACAAATTTGAAAGCAATGCAAGGTTTGGTTCTCCATGTCAATAACATTTTCAAGGTACACAACTGGGGAAGCAAATGAGATAAAAAATTTCCCACATCCATAGCTCAACATGTTGTTCCTCTTTGAGTGCTAAAACTTTATTTGCAAAAGAAAAGCTAAGGTTAGGTTAAAATAATATTAATTATTATATATATATATATGATATCATTTTAAAGACCAGTACATTTTATTGCTTAATATGTCTTTTTTTAATTAAAAAGGTTACTTGCTAGGTTGCTTACATTTATAGTAGCAATAGGCCACTTGAAATGTTTAACACATAAGCACTCATTTGCTAAACTAAAGCTAGCCTTGAACTTTTAGTGGTGCCATATGCTTTTAAATTAACCCTTCTAAATACTGTACAAAGCTCATAACCCAGACTGTTAGCTTAGAACCAAATTAGGTTACTACTAAATATTCATTAGGCAAACGACTGAAAATAAAGAAAACATGCATATTCCTACAGCTCTCTGAATGCCAAAATTAAAAATGATACAATGAGAATTTGGGATTAAGCAATGATAATTTGGCTGAGCTCAATGTCTTACATATTTCAAATTGAACTAAAACCTCTAAGGACCTTTTCCTTTGGAAAGCAAAACCACACATTTTAAAATAGTATCTAATGCAAGGTCTATTAAAATCACAATGGATCATAGCTGTCAACTTCAAATAGTGTCTCTCTCCTTAAGAGCATAAGTTTACACACTGGTGCAACACCACAAAGGCAGATGCTACAAAGGGATCTACCAAGAAAACAAATTTTATTCACAACGTTTTGCATATAAACTTTTCCTTCTGCAGACTTGTGTAGAGTTGAAAATAAAGGATGCTAATATGCACATCATGCAGCACATCAAAAAAAAAAAGAGAGAGAGAGAGAGAGAGAGAGGGAGAGAGAGAAAAAAAAACACTTCAGTTGAGTGAAAATTCATTTATCTACTGAAAATCCGGGAGAATTCACATCCACTGTACTCCAAATTTACTCCTAAGTGACAGAAAAATACTCTATGAAATGGCAAAAAAATTAAATATGATTTAATCAATAGCTGATTACCTTTAAAACTTTGGGCTTCTTTTCCCTCTGGGGCCTCTTGTTTTCTTTTATAACCTAAAAAAAATCAGATTGCAAAATGAGCCTCCGTTTAAGAAAAAAAAAATTAGCTCCCACCTCCCCCCAAAAAATTTTTTTTGGCTATTTCTCTATAAAACTCTTTAGACCATTTAAAATTATCAACATGTTTGCTAGGCAGAACCTAAAGAGCTCATGTAAAATGTACACTTTAAAAGTCACTGAAAAAAAGCGTTGCATAAAGATGAAGTAGGGAAATACCCTTTTTTCCCCTTAAAGACTGTCTTAATTAGCCTCTGCATTCTTCACAGCGAAGCCCACGAGGTAGCCATCTTGCTTGCTTCTGCAGAGGAAGCCTCTACAGTGGAACAGTTCTGCAAACTGCTTTTTGGTATTATTATCATGGTGTTTAAAGGCAGCCCTGGCCTGCCAGCACTGTAGACGTGCTGGGCATGCCTTTTGCAAAAACAGCCCCACAAAGAGTGCAGCCAATGGCAATGCAGAGCTTAGCAACTCCAAAGTGATCTTCTCTGCTAGCCTTCCTAGACAAAGGATCTCCTGTGCGGCTCCGCTCTCACCACAGGACACAGGCAGCCACAAGCTGCGACATGGAGTGCGCTGCAGAGGATCTGGTCGCGCCGAAATCACAGGAGGCTTCAGCAAAAACAATGCACACAAATCCCCCAGGTCTCCGCCATCGGATCGATGGCGGAGGCTCCCTGATTAGTAACCTCTTGGCGGCTCCGAGGGCAGGTCTGCGCGGGGGGAGGGGTGCGCGGCTCTGCCTCCAACGTACAGGAGATATAACCGAGCCGAGGGGGGCATTTGGGCTTGCTGAAACTCTGGAAGGTATTGTGCATTTTTACTTTATAAGGCAAGGCTAAATATTGGCGATATTTAAGGCAGGGAGGTTATGTGAGGACAGTGTAGGCTCAGCTGTTGGGCTGCGTGTCTCATTCCCCGGGAACCACACCTCTTTGCAGCAGGCGCTTTGCCCAGAAACACAGCAATTTGATTTCTGTCAATAAATGTCCAATGACAAAGGCGGATTAAAAAACACTAATGAAGCCACTTAAAAGGAAAAGGACAGGATGAGGACAAGGAGAGGGGGAGGAGTTTTCAAAATACACTTGCCACTCTTGAGTGGCTGCAGAGGAAAAGATTTCTCTCTCTTGCTCTGGACATTTCTGGTGACCTTCATTTCCTGAAGAAATCCCTCGGGTCCAGAAGGTGGGTTCACACCTTTCAGACAAAAAGGGGCACCTTTATGGGCTTCTCTGTCTCCCAAGATCATCAACTGTCTCAGAGCATCTTTCTGTGGAGCTGCCAAACAGGTCCCCAGGCGGAGCCAGTCTGCCTACCCGGCTGATGGTCAGACGGAACCACCCACTTCCCGGGAATGGGAGCTGAGCCAGAGGTGGCACAAGCAGCTACCCACACTCAGGCACCTGGGCTGCCACCGCGCTCAGCGGGTGGTAGGCACTGGGAGAGCGGGGCACCACAGTTGGAATTTGCCAGACCCTGAGAATGCCAGAGCCAGAGAGTTAAGCTCTCTCCCTGGCCTGGCAACAGTGACAGTAGAGAAGGAACCAGGACAGCTGCTGTGAGCTGGCAGGTCTCAAGGTCACTGCCAAAATGTAGTGCAGAGTCCGGTCACAGTCCCATCACAGCCACCTTGACAGCTGCACAGATCTTGGGAAGAGAGCCTCAGCTCCATCCTCACAGGGCCAAAGTTTCAGCAACACATTTAGGGGATTGGCAGGAGGGCCTCCCTGGCTGCTCAGCCAAAGATGGGTTTTCCACTTGCAGTTGGATTCAGAACAGATTCCCACAACCAGAAATCAGGAACAGAGTGAGGGCCGGAAGGCCTGTGTTTCATCACCCGGGATTCCTAGGCTTTCGGTTGGCCACAAAAGCACGCCTTACTTGTTGGAATGGTAAGTCCAACATGCCCTGTTTTCCCACGTTCAACTACCTCTCCCTCACCTACCCAGCCTCAAAATTTTTAACACATGTAAAAAGCAAGCCTCCTTGTAGCAAAATCAGTGGATTCTGACTTAAACACATCCATCAGGGCAACCTCAAGCACACTGAGCCCACACTGAGAAGCTCTCCCTGGTGAATGAAGCAAAACCATGAAAGAGGTGGAAAAACAGGACCAAATGATACAGCAAGATTTGAAAATGGCCCTGTACTTCTTTTTCTTTTAAGTGTATGTGTGTGTGCATGCATGAGATAAAATAAACATAATATAAAATCTGCCACTTTAACCATTTTTTAAAAAGATTTTGTTTATTTGAGAGAGAGTACAAGCAGGAGGAGCAGAGAGAGAGGGAGAAGTAGACTCCCTGCTGAGCAGGGATTTCCCCATGTGGGGCCTGATCCCAGGAGGTGAGCCCAAGGCAGATGTTTAATGGACTGAGCCACCCAGGTGCCCCTATTTTAACCATTTTTAAGTGTATAGGTTAATAGCATTAAGTATGTTCACAATATTGTGAAATGATTCTCACTCTCCATTTTCAGCACCTTTTCATTATCCCAGATACTCTGTATTCATTCAACAATAAGTTCTCATTTGCCTTCTCTCAGTCCTTGCTACTTTTTATTTTACTTTTGGGGTCTATAAATTCACCTATTCTAATATCTCATATAAGTAGTATCGCATGATGTGTGTCCTTCGGTGTCTGGCTTATTTCACTTTGCATAATGTTTTCAAGGTTCATCAACAATGTAAGATGTATCAGAATATCATTCCATTTTAAAACTCAATAGTGGGACACATGGGGGTGGCTCAGCAGTTCAGAGTCTGCCTTTGGCTCAGGCCGTGATCCTGGAATCCCAGGATCAAGTCCCACATTGGTCTCCCTGCGTGGAGCCTGCTTCTCCCTCTGCCTGTGTCTCTGCCTCTCTGTCTTTCATGAATGGACAGACATAATCTTTAAATAAATAAATAAATAAATAAATAAATAAATAAATAAATAAATAAATAATAGATAGATAAATAGATAAATAGATAAAATAAGACAATAGTATTTCACTGTGTATAAACAACAAATTTGTTTATCTATTCTTCTGTTGATGTACATTTGGGTTGTTCCCACCTTCTATTTTGAGTAATACTGGTGTGAACATGGGTACGAGTATGTGAGTCCCTGCTTTCAATTCTTTTTGATATATATCTAGAAAAAGAACTGCTGTATCATATGATAATTCTGTTTAAATATTTAAAGAATCACTAAACTTTCTACAGTGGCTATATCATTTTCCACTCTTGTCATCAGTGCACACAAGGGTAGCCCTACATTTCTTGCATTTCAATTACACGTTATACTTCTCCCCCTTGAATACCTGAATATAATTTTTAAAAGGCATCAACATATTCCCCAGCTCGATCATTCAATATTTAGTAAGGTGGGTCAGGATATATAATTATATATTTAAAATCCATCTATTACCTGTGTGATCCATGTTTGTCTCAATAAAATAAAATAAAATAAAATAAAATAAAATAAAATAAAATAAAATAAAATAAAATAAAATAAAATAAAATCAAGCTCAGACTGTTAGGTGTACTGAGTATCCAAGTCAGTGAGAAGTCCACTTTTAAAGCCCCATTGACAGGCATTTTCACTGCATGGGATACTCATGAAGCCATACAACGCTGCACTTGGCAAACTAGCAAATATTGCAGGTCTGTGTGCATTGTTCTGTAAAATGAATTAATAAATAAAGCCACAGCTCTTCTCAGCTAAATATGAGGGTTAATTCAAGTGACCAGAGCTAACATTAGCTCAAAATATCCAACTGATACTACACCATGAAGATCTGCACTTGTTCGGACACAGAATAGATTGGTAACCTATATTCGTTATGACCATCTGCTCTAAATCCTATACTTAGCGATTTGATGGTCTCTCAGCTCAGGACTTAGGTGATGGTGAGCTCTGATGGAGAAAATAACCAGACATTACTAGCAGAGAAATTGGAGGGCTGGAAAGCCATTCCCATTCTCTTATTATTTAGGGCAAAATGCATAGAACTAGATTCAGTTGGAAGAATGGCAGATCAGAAACTATGAAACTCTGTGCCATAGTCCGACTTATTCAGAACTTGTTTTTGTCTCTTAAATCTATTTGTTCTTCTCACAAGGAATTATGATTATGAAGTTGCATAAGATGTATTTAATTTTGTAATAGTTCTAGATTATTAGGTTCTTGCAAATATTACAAAATGAGATCTCTTTTCTCTTGAAAATCGCATGATTATAGAACTAAAAAAAGAACATCAGAGAAAATTGAGCCTAACTACATTATTTCATAGGTAAACTAAGGCTTAAAGAGATAGAATTACTTAATTTACCTTATACAGCAAGTTAAAACTGGACTTGAGGAGAGGTATAACCAACCATCTACACTGCTTTCTCTATAACTCCTAATAACCTTTAAGGTTGAAAGGTCTTCAAAACCACACACTTCATTTTTAGAAGAGAGGAGAATTGGCTCAGGTTTCTAGAAGACTGGTATTTAAATGAACCTTATGTTAGGTGTGCTTTTAAAAAATAAATTTTGTGCCCTCGGAAATAAGTTTATGAGTAATTTCACATTCTACTCTTTCTAAGCACAAGCCACTCTGCATCCACAAGAAACTAGACCTACAAACACTGCTTACTAGACCTACAAAAACAGGTGTTTTCTTCTAAGGTAATCTCAGAAGTCATCACGATTCCTCAAACTTGACACTTCTCCAGAACAAAATCCTTCCAGTATTAGTCACACTCTCTTCTCCCATGAAATCCTCCTATATTTCTCTTCTCCCCTATTGCTGGGGGGGTGTCATAACTTTTCCTATGACACCTGGGTAAAGACATATTTCAAGTACCATATTTTATAAATTTCCAATCATTAAGAAAAAGATGGCTCGTTTTTTTCACAATTCTAAAGGAGATCTCAAAGTTAGTTTGGTTTTATTTTCTTAGGAGACTACAGAAACTTTAACTTAACAGGAGATTTTCCTGGGTGATTGGGTAAACAATAATGGTC